TAAAACTCATGTCAGGCACGTGTGCATGCGTGCCCAAGATCCCAAGAGGAGAATGGAGGAGAGAAGACTGTGGGGTGTCCATGCGCCTGGGGGTGATTTCTCACTTTCTGTCTGTCTGCCCGGTGAGCGCACGCGCCCTATAGCAAAAATCTCTCAAAAAAGAAAAGACATGAGCGGTCCTCTGACCGGAGGAGTCCCAGTGCTGCCGCAGCTGCCCTGTCAGGACTGGGAGACACATGTGAAGGGTCAGAAATGGGGTGGGGCTGGGGTGGGGGCTGGCCAGCAGCCGTACCCTCTGGGCACCTGTGAGCTGACCCAGGTCTTTTCTGCATCATGGATGGGTATGCTGGGGTTTCAGGAAAGGTAAGGCAGCCGGTTCAGGGAGCTGAGCAGCTCTTTTGTGTACGCCGCCCCCCACCCCGAAATGGCGGCATGGTTCAAGCCAGTCCACGCTGTCTCCTCCTAGGCAGTTCAGAAGTGACCCTTAACAAATCTAAAAGAAACCCCCCAGAAGCAGATGAACCAGAGCCATCAGAACGCCCTGCCTCCTGCCTCCGAGCTGGGGCACATTAAGCTAGAGAGCTGTGCCCAGGAGTGTCTGGCCAGACGGTGCAGACGGCGCAAGCCCAGGAAGAGGCAGGGGAGGCCTGGAGCTGGCGATGGGTGTGTGGCGTGTTAGGGCCTTACCTTGAACCATGCTGCCAGGAGGGGGCGTAGGAGAAGGCCCCAGGCGCACCCAGTTGTACACCGGCTTGGGCGCGCCCCCGGATCAGACGCATAGCCGGCCACCACGGCGAAGAGCCCGCTCTGGCTGCATAAGGGGGTGCTGGGGGGCACTGAGAGAAGCACAGAAAGCACCCACAATCCTTCGTCTCATCCCAGGAAGTGCTAGATCTCCTGTGTGGATCCCCCTACCAAAGACAGTGGTCCACTGCCACTCACAGCCCCGTGTCCCCAGGAATCAGTGCGACTGGGAGTTCACGGCAAGCCGAAGTGTTAGTGTGATGTCCACTTGCTGTTCCCGTTCCCGCCTGCCAGACACACACGGCAGCCCTCAGTGTGTGACGCAGCATCTGCCCCCTGTCCTGCAGCTTCTCATCCACCCAAACATCCCCGCCTCTCCGAGCCTTCTTACTGCTGCTCTGGTCAGCTCCGTCAGTATGAAAATGGGGCCCTTTCCTTTAATGGCCGCTCCTGACCTAGAAGAGACGGAATGGAACGAGGCTCCCCTGGGCATGGCAGGGAGCTGGACAGAGCTGGGGCAGGGAGTGACTCAGATCTGTGGGAAGGGCTTCCTCTCTCAGACCCTTTGTTGCCAGGCCCCAGGGAGGGGACGCTGTGGAGGGTGGAGCCAGGTCCCAGAGATGTTTCCCCTGGGCTCCAGGGGCGCTGAGCATTTCGGCTGAAGTGGGGACACCCAGGCAGTGTAGCAGGCCCCTCACCCAGCACGGTGAAGTTGATCAGCCCCAGCCCATTGGTGTAGAAATCGGGTGGGTTGTTCACTTGGCAGAGGTAGGTTCCGGTATCTGAAGGGTGAACGTCGGTCAGCGTCAGGGTGGCCACCCCCCCAGTGGGGGGGTTCTGAAGCAGGCTGGCCCTCCTCGCCTTCGAGCCAGTGGGGTACAGATGGCCATTGGTGAAATACAGGATCTGGGGAGGGTGGGAGACACACTCTGGGCCTGGCATCAAACCTGGTCCCCGCCTGAAGAGCAGGTGTGAGAGGCCACTGCCACCCAGGTGGAACCAGGAACGGCTCTCGGTGCCGAACCCAGCCGCACCCAGCACTGAGAGCCTGAGGCGCTGACTGCCCCCCACTGAGCACAGGGTCTGTGGGGAGATGTGACAGTTTTCCATCTCGACATCTTGGTGTCACTGGGGTCATACGGAAGTGGGGGCTGCACTGACCGCAGGGAGTCGGACTCAGAGCTACAGAAAAGGGAAGGGTGATAGGTCACCACAGACTGCACCCCCACCCCGAAATGGCGGCATGGTTCAAGCCAGTCCACGCTGTCTCCTCCTAGGCAGTTCAGAAGTGACCCTTAACAAATCTAAAAGAAACCCCGCAGAAGCAGATGAACGAGAGCCATCAGAAAGCCCTGCCTCC